AAAAACTGAGGCGTCACTTTGGGCAGAGAAAATCCTCCCAGATGTTGATGCTCCATTTGCTGGAGGCTCCTTGGACTGACATCTCCTTCCAGGAATGAGAGGCTCGGGATTTTTAACCCGATCACGACGTTAGACACTCCCTCATCTCTGCTCCTGTTCCTGGGAAGCAGAACCCCTGCAATTCCTGCATAAACTCATTTTCGGCTCCTTGCACAGCGCCGAGCCCAGCGCTCCCAGGGCAGGCTGAGGAACAAACAGCCTTTTCCATGGGCTAGCAGTGATGGAGGAGGTTCTGGAGAGTTCCCAGGGGGAAAGCAGCTCCCGTGGCAAGGCACCAGTGGGAATGACTGTGGGAGGTCAAGCCTTGGCTGCTGAGAAATCAGGAAGGCTCCGTGGGCTCACGCCCACCCCGTCACGCGGAGCAGAGGAAGTCCAGCACCGCAGCAGAGGTGCTGCCAAAGCGAACCTCTTCTCTCTGGATTTTTTTTTTTTTAATTTTATTTATTTTTTTTTGGATTAAATGTGTGAGATGGTATTTTTCTGTTTGGGTTGAGATGTTGATTGTTTTTTATTTACATTCCAGTTTCACAACTTGTGAGTTTGATAGTGTTTTAATAAGTTAAAAATGGAGTTGTGTCTCTTTTCTTAGAAGGTTTCTTAAGGATAAATTCTTTCATTAAGAGATGATACTTAAATTATTTTTATTTTTAACTTAACTATTTTATAACTGATTTTTAACTTAATAACTAATTTTTAACTTAATACTTGTGGCTTGTGATGTGAATTTTTTATTTAATTACACAATACTACTTAAACTTAGGAAGAAGAAGGTGAAGAAGGACTAGTTTTTATTTTTAAAGCTTTTATGTTGTTTTACATATATTACTACATTCTAAAACCTTAAACTTTAAGTTTTCTACTATGTGATATTACATCCTTTAGTTTAAACTACACACTCATCACTTTAGTTTTAGTATTTAATTTTGGAAGCTTTTCCTATGGTTTAAGGTCAAATGTTGTTCTTTTGGGGGTCAGTGCCTTTTAGTACAAAAAGTCTAAAATTCTCAACACTTCTCCTCCTGGAAAACCCAGGGCTGGGTGGCCAGGGAGGACAAGTGGTGAAAAGCAGATTTTTCTGCCCCAAAACTGCCCCAGGGCTCGGCGTGCCCTTCCCTCCTCACCTGTGCCTGTCTCCCTGCAGGCTGCAGCATTTCAAGGAGTGCATCCAGTTCATCCACGAGTGCCGGCTGGGAGGGGGAGCCTGCCTGGTGCACTGGTGAGAGCTGCAGTGACCCCCCACCCCACCCGTCCTCTGGGAGCTGGGGGTGGTGCCTGGGGAAGGAGAGCTGGGCAGGGTCACAGAATAAAGCAGGGATTTATTAAAGGATCTCCATGGATCCACCTTGGGCAGCACCAGAGCCCAGCCAGGCTCTTGCTGGAGGTACCCAAAATGACCATTTCAAAATGGTTCATTTTGGGTACCTCCAGAAATAGGTTCATATCAAAATGGTACAAAAATTGTTCCGAAAGGAACCCAAGGTGAACCAAAATAGTCCCGAAATGAACCTAAGATGAACCAAAATGGGCCCAAAATGAACCCAAGGTGCACAAAAATGGTCCCAATGTGAACCCAAGATGAACCAAAATGGTCCCAAAGTGAACCCAAGGTGAACCAAAATGGTCCCAAAATGAACCCAAGGTGAACCAAAACGCTCCCAAAATGCCCGAGCGCTCCCGGGGCTCTCCCTGGGATCAGATCTGCTCCATTGGCACCTTGGAGTTCATTGTCCCATTCCAGCTCCAGCCCAGGCAGTCCCACCCTGCTTGTTTTTCTCTCTCCAGCCCACGCTGTTTGTGCTCCTGGGCTGAGGTTTGGATCATTTGTCCTTGGTGCCCAGCTGGAGCAGGAATTGTTTTGTCTCCCTGCTCTGTGCACAGAGCTCAGCATCCCCTCATGTGAAGCTCAGAAATACACACTAAAGCAGCACAGAATATGAAAAATAGAAAATCTAAAACTTGCGGCATCAGGCGTGGGCTCCCAAAAACTGTCCTTGGTGTTGAGCATCACTGGGGAGGGGGAGGAAGGAGAGGATGAGGCACAGAGCAGCAGGGAGAGCCATGGGAAGGACTTTGGATCCTCAGGGATGGGATCCTTGCACTGACCACCCGAGCATCCAGGATGTGGGACAGGCGTGAGGAGGGGACAGGGAGGTGACAACAGCAGTGTGAGAAAGCTCCTTGTCCCCTCTGCCCACACCCCAGTGAGGGATTCTGCATCCCAGGGGTGATTCCTGCGGGATCCCCTCCCTGATGCCCCCGCTGTGGCGCCCAGCCTGGCCGGGGTGTCCCGCAGCAGCACGGTGCTGGTGGCATACCTGATGACAGTGACAGAGCTGGGCTGGCAGAGCTGCCTGGCTGCCACCAGGGCCGTGCGCTCCTACGCCAGCCCCAACTCCGGCTTCCAGCAGCAGCTGCAGGAGTACCAGAGCACCCTGCTCCCCCAGGTAAGGTCCCCTCGAGGGGTGTTTTGGAAGGCTTTGCAACCGGGCACGGCTCCTCTGCACGCAGCTCTCTGTTTGCCCCAGCGGGATTTGGGGAATTTGTGTGCAAAAACAGAAAGGAATTAAAAAAAAAAAAAAAATAATCGCCGTGATATCGTGTGAGTAAGCTTTAAAAAGGTCTGAAAAACGCTGAACTTGTTTTCTCGAGTTGGGATGCAGCGGGAGGGATGGTTGAGCAGTTTGGCCCTTGGGGAGCTCGGGAAGGAGCTGGGCCGATTCCCGGGAATGCAGCACGGAGAGGGAGGAAGGCTCTTGTGAGGAGTTTCGGGATGCCTGGGCACGCTGGGATCTGCCAGTGCCCTGCTCCCAGAGGCAGGAGCAGGTGTGGGTGGAGAAATCTCCCATTTCCTCCCCAAACCGAGCTGGGGCAGCAGGTTTTGGGAGAGCAGGAGCTCGGGCTGGCCGGGGCAGGGAGGATGGAGCAGCGCCGAGCTGGATCCCAGCAGCTGGGAGAGCACTCAGTGCAGAGGTCAGAGCTGCACTTTTGACCCAAAAACCTTCGGAAGCAGAGGGAAATGCCTTGAAAGGCAAAGGGAAAGACCTTAAAAAGAAAAGAAAAAGGCTTTTAAATCACAGCTCCCACCTGGCTCTCCAGCCTCCCACTCCGGACTCTGCTCCTCCACCCATCCCTGGCTTCCCAAACTTCCCATGGGGCACAGACACCTCTGCAAGGAGAGGGAAACCCTGGACAGGACGTGTGCGAGGGATGTCACAGCCCCTGTGCCCCCTCAGCCCGGTGCCAGCCCCGCTGGCAGAGCCGCCCGTGCTCCGCAGCCACCGCGCCATGTCCCCGCGGCAAGCGGGACCCTCGGAGCGCTCGGAGGGGATTCCTGCCCTCGCACGGCGAGCAGGACAGCCCGTGACACTGTCCCCAAGGCCAGCCCCATCCCAGTGCCAAGTTCCCTTCCCCGGGTGTCGCTGTCGAGGCAGGACGGGAATGAAGAGACTCTGACTCGGAAGGCTGTAATAGTAAAACTCCCATGTATTCAAAATGCCCCGCTCTTTTATACAGAGCTTCGCAAGGATCAAATCCATTGGCTCTGAAGTGAAAGCAACTCACACCATTGGTGCAGAGTGCTTGACGCACAGTGATAGAACTTAACTATAAACAATGTGAAAAACAAGAGAGATAAAGAATAATTTATAATTTTTCCCAGTTCTTTCCCAGGCTTCTGCCTGGCTAGAAATTCTCAGTTTCTTTCTTTGACTGAATTTGAGACCCACACCCGGGTGCTGTCACATGAGGGATGTGGCTCTGCCCCGGTGTCACCAGAAACGCCCCTGGAGGAGGCTGGAAAACGCTCCCGGGGATGACAAAACACCCGCGGGGCTGGAGATTCCCTGCGGGGCTTCCCCCGGCTGGGCCAGCTCTCCCCAGCCCTTCCCACGCTCTGGCCCAGCACAGACCCTGCTCTGGGCTTTGCCGTGCCCTCCCTCCATCCCCCCGATTCCTCCTGCTCCCAAAATCCACGCTGGGCTCAATGGATGCCACAATTCCCTCCCTTTCCCTTGGGAGACGCTTTTCCATCACCTCACAGTTTTTGCCAGTGGCTTTGCAACGCTTTCCCTGAAACAGCCAAGGCACAGCTGAGGGTGGAGGTGTTGGGATGTGTTTTCCTGTCCGTGGGATTTAGCAAGAGTTGCCTTTTCCTTGAAACTCCCACCCGTGCTCCCTGTGATGTCAGCGCTGGCCAGAGAACGGCCCTCGTGGGTGGGAAGCCTCAATCCTTGGTGGTGAAAGCTGTGAGGAACAGCTTGGACCTTCTTGGACCTTTTGGGGACCTCCTTGGACCTTCTGGGACCTCCTGGGGCTGCGGTGCCTCAGTTTCCTTCACCTCAGGGAGCTGAGCTGGGAGGAAGGGATGGGGCGTGCAGCTGTGGTTTCAAGCTGGCAAATGGGGCTTCCCTGGGCTGGAGGGATAAAAAAAAGAAGGAAGGGACCGAGGGCAGCAGCAGGATGAGGGGTAAGGTTAGAAAAGTAAGTCAGTGGGCACAGTGTGGATGGCACAGAGGGCACAGTTGGGCATTCTGGTGGCAGAGCTGTCCCCCATGGTGCTGGCACACCGTGGCCAGGCTGCCTTTGACCCGAATGGCTGGGAGAGGAGGAGGAGGAGGAGGGCGATGGGCTGTTGCTCAGCACTGGAGGAAATGGGCTGGAACCACTTCTTGCTCTGGCTTTAGGAGGAAATGCCTGGCAGCTCCCCCCCTCTCCCAGCCAGCCCTGCCCTCTTCCCTGGGCGGTGGGACCAGCTCCAGGCTGGGTGCTGAGCCCTGCTGGGTGCCAGGGCGCCCTTCCCACGGCGCTCCATCCCTCTGCACGGCTGGCACTGAAGGGATGTGCCCCCCAGGAGATCCTGGCGTGGGTCTTGCCCCAAATCCTGTCCCAAACCTTGTGGGTCTCGCGTTCCAGGGGTGTTTTTCCTCAAGGAATACGGGTGTGGCTCTCAGGGCTGCCCTGGGCAGGGATGTCCCTGCCTTGCAGGTGTGACAGCCCTGCTGTGGGAGGGGGTGGAGCTGGGAAATCCAGACATTCCCAGTGGAAATCCCCCCTGTCCCAGCTGATTTTCCCTGGCCGCAGGAGGGGATTATATCACCAGGGTCAGTCTAAAACATTTTTTTTTTCCTCTTGTGACTGATCCAGTGCTGAGCTGCCAATCTTGCTGCCCCTCATCCCAACATTTTCTGGGAGCTGGGTGGCTCCTGCCCATCCAGGAGCCCAAATCCACAGCGAGGGCACCATCCCATCCCATCCCATCCCATCCCATCCCATCCCATCCCATCCCATCCCATCCCATCCCATCCCATCCCATCCCATCCCATCCCATCCCCCCCCCCCCCATCCCATCCCTGTCCCCATCCCAGGGCTCCAATTCTCGGTCCCTCTCCCCACCCTTCGCACCCACAGGCACCCTCCATCCTTTCCTCGGGGTGTTTGGTGCTGCTGGGGGTGCTCCTGTCACTCATCCCGGTATTTCCACGCGGGAGCAGCTGGATCCCAGCTCCTCAGGGAGATTCCCTGTGAGCCTGGAGTGGTGAATCCTGGCAGAGCTGCCCCACGCTGCTCCGTGCTGCAATTTGGGACTGTCTGGTTGTTTCCTCATCCCAGCAATAACGGGAATGGTTTCTCTGGATCATCCCTGGCTTCCAGCCCTCAGCCTGCTGCCAGCTGGCCCCTGGCCACCAGCAGTAATGGGGATCAGTGGGGTCAGAGGCTCCTCAAAACCTCCCGAGGTGCTCTGACAACAAACCTGCCTCACCTTGCAAGGACCAACTCGGCTGTGCTGCTTGTGCTGGGGGGGGAAAAAAAAATAATAATAAAAAAAAGCTTTGGGAAGCATTCCTTACGGGAATTCAAGCACACGGGGAGCAGCAGCAGCTTCTTGGCAAGCAGGAATAAATAAAGCTGCTGTGCCAGCTGCGGCCAGTGTGGGCTGGGAAGCCGAGGGTGCTGCCAGCTCTGGGGATGTGGGGGTGCTGGGATGGGGATCCCAGAGCATCTGTGGGGTGCTCGGTGGGACTGGGAGCTTCCTGCACGCCGGCTGTGCTGGGGACGCAGCAGGAATTGCTTTGCTCGCTGCTTTCCACTGGAGCTGCTACAGCCCTGCTCTCTCTGGGCTCTCTCACTGCCCAGCTCACCCCAAAATCCTCCTCTGCCTTTTTTCCCCGGCAGTACCGCGCCTGGATCCGCCGGGATTACGGCAGGAACCCCTTCCAGGACCAGCAGGAGCTGCAGCAGCTGCTGGGCTCTGGGAATCCAGGGCTTCCCTCTGGCTGCCCTGGGACCCTGGCAGGGGTCAGGAACCCCCCTGGACAGAGCCCCCAGAGACACTGGCTGTGATCTCTGGCCATGGAAAAGAGTTTTCAATCTTACAGGATCAATTACCAGCTCTGAGTGTTTGATATAAGGAATAATTAAGTGTGGCACGGGTGCAAAAGTAAAATTTTAAGATTCTAAATTAGGAGTCCAAAAAGAAACAACAACAAAAAAAATTAGGTATATCTTGTCCTTTTTCTTCTTCCTCATACCCTCCATGTTTCACTGTAGTGTTGGCATTTTTCTATTAGTTTAAGCTAAAAACACACTGTTCAACACAAATATTATAAGTAAATCCAAATTTTCCTTTTAGCTGGCATTTTCCTTATCCCAATCCCAGGAATAATGGGAAAGGTAAATCCAAATTTACCTTTTAGCTGGCATTTTCCTTATCCCAACCCCAGGAATAAGGGGAAAGGTAAATCCAAATTTACCTTTCAGCTGGCATTTTCCTCATCCCAATCCCAAAGATGAGGGGAAAGGTAAATCCAAATTTTCCTTTTAGCTGGCATTTTCCTTATCCCAGCCCCAGGTAGGGGGAAAAAGGCAATCTAAATTTACCTTTACCCATGGACCAATTTAACTCTGTCCCTCTCCAAAAGCCTTTTTAATACCCAAACCCCGTGCCCATGTCCAGTTTTTCATCCCAAACTCGGATTGTGCTTTTCCAGAGTTTTTATTTTGTCAGGAATTCCTCCCATCTGCCTTACAAGGAGGGTCCCATCCCGTGGATTCAGCCCTTCCACATGGAAACCTCCAACCCTTCCGTGCCTTTTATTATAATTACCCTGTTTGTCCACTCAAATAAAAATCTCTGCTCTGCAATTCCTTCTAAGAAAAAAGGGATTCAAAACATTTCTAGGAATTCTCTTTGATGGAGATTTTCGGGTACTTGTGGTGTGACAGCACCAGGGGTGACTCAGCTCCTAATAAAGAAGAGAGTGATTAAATCCTGAGGGTGCCTGGACTTGATTTGTGGTGTTCCTGGTGGGAATACAGAGATGGACTGAAAAAACCACCCTGCTTCCCATTTTCTTGATGAGAACCACCAGCAAGATGAAAAGATTTAAATATTCCACGTTTAGCCATGATATAGAATTCCAGGGGGGGGAAAAAAAGTGTTTTTTCCCCATTTATTTAGATGGAGAAAAGGGTCCCTGTGGGTTTTATTCCACATGGAAGCAAAGGGAAAGCAAATAATGAGCTGTTGATGGGGTGGGCTCAGGGATCAATATTGGATTTAAAGGCTCTGTTTTCATTTTAGGAAGCAGAAAAAAATGGAACTTGCAGGCAGGAAGAGAAAAGAGAAGGCAGGGGAGTTAATAGGAAGTCATTGGAGATGGGTGATAAGCAGAGATTAGAGGTGCAGGAGGTGTGATAAACTCCACAGCCCGAGCTTCAAACACCCCCAGGGAACCACGGCACCAAAGGCAGAGCTGGAAAAATCCCCCAGATTTGGGGAATCCCAGGGAATTCTTCCCCAGAGCAGCACCCCCGCCGTGCCTGACATCCCAGCCACAGCCAAGCCCCAAAATCCCCTCCTCACCCAAATTTCCCTGCCTTTCAGGGCTATCCCAGGTGAATATATCTGTTTTTCCACTCTGGCTTCCATCAGCGGGACCTGAGGTGGCTTTAGGAATTCTGGGAGCTGGGAGGCAAACCCCAAACAGGCAAAACTGGGCTGGATTTCCACTTTTTGGCCATTGCCAAGAGCAGCTCACGCTTGGCTGCTGGGCTCTGCTGCCCTGTTGTTTTGAATTTTTAGGAACTTTTAGAGTTTTTTTAGTTTATATTTTTGTAATAATTTATATATATATATATATATATAAAATTTTAATTTTTGTTTTGGTAAAAAAATTAAAGCAACACTATCCCACATCAGCCTTCCCAAAATCCTGGTGCCTCTGGCACGGGGAAATGGGCTCTGCTCCCAGCCTGTTTCAATTGCCTGAAACCCTATTTTAATGGGGCTCATTTTTTATCTTCCCCGCAGGGAATTTGGATTTACCTGAAGCTGCAGAGCCAAAATGAAGGTGGGGATGATGAAGTCACCTCGCTGCATTGCAGTGGATCCCCAGAGGGGATGGAGAGTTTGGTTGTGTGCAGACCCTTTAAAATATCACAAATTGCCCAGAATTTTAACAAAAAAAAAAGGTTTTTACAGGAGGGTCTCTGTCTGGCAAGGGGAGGTGGTGATGCAAAACCCCACCGATAAGCAAAGATTAAAATTGTATTTTTGGTCAAAAAAGAACATGAATCCTCCTGACTGTATCTGATGGCAGAAGATGTTTTTTGGCTCACTCCAAATCTCCTGGGGGGGATCCAATGAGGATCAGTGGGGGGTGCTTAAAAAACTTAAAATCAAGGCTCATTCCAGCCGTTCTTTATTAGAAATGCCAGGAAAGGTTGTGCACCTCAGAGCGTTATTTTTATTAAACCATCTGTGCAGCTCCATCCATTTCCCATTTCTCTGTATTGCCCACGTGGGAGTAATTATGGTTTTCTTCCAAGAAATGTGTGTGTAATCTGGTAATCCCAAAAAAGCCCCTCTGAAGTCAGGCTGCAGATGGGGCTTCATGCTCTGGTGGCTCTGGCTGGGTTTGGCTGGGCTGGGGCAAAGTCAGGACACCAAATCTGTACTGGGAACACTGGGAACTGCTGGGCAGGCAGGGAGGGAATGATCCAGGACTGGCCTCGATCCAGAAAGGAACTGGGAACCCCCTGGACTAAACTGGGATTGGGCATGGACCAGTCTGGGACTGGGGAAAGTGGCCTGGGACTGGGAATGGGCTGGGCTGGGCCTGGGGACACTGATCTGAGACTGGGAAGGATGATTTGGGGCTGGGAAAACTGATTTGGGATTGGGGGAACTGATTTGGGATTGGGGAAACTGATTTGGGACTGGGGAAACTCGTCTGGGACTGGGGAAACTGGTCTGGGACTAGGGAGACTGGTCTGGGACTGGGGAAACTGGTCTGGGACTGGGGAAACTGATTTGGGATTGGAGAAACTGATTTGGGACTGGGGAAACTGATTTGAAACTGGGGTGACTGGTCTGGGACTGGGAGACTGGTATGGAATTGGGGAGGTTTGTTTGGGAATATACTGTTTATGGACTGGGGATGGATTGGTCTTGGACTGGGAATACTGGTCTGAGACTGGGAAGGCTGATTTGGAATTGGGGATAGAATGACCTGGGATAACTGGAGAATGACCAGTCTGGGACTGGGGAAACTGATTTGGGATTGGGGGAACTGATTGGGGATTGGGGAAATTGATTCGAGATTGGGGAAACTGATTGGAGATTGGGGAAACTGATTCGGGATTGGGGAACTGATTTGGGATTGGGGAAATTGATTCGGGATTGGGGGAACTGATTCGGGATTGGGGGAATTGATTTGGGATTGGGGAAACTGATTCGGGATTGGGGGAATTGATTCGGGATTGGGGGAATTGATTGGAGATTGGGGAAACTGATTCGGGATTGGGGAAATTGATTCGGGATTGGGGAACTGATTTGGGATTGGGGAAATTGATTCGGGATTGGGGGAACTGATTCGGGATTGGGGGAACTGATTGGAGATTGGGGAAACTGATTCGGGATTGGGGAAACTGATTCGGGATTGGGGGAACTGATTCAAGATTGGGGAAACTGATTCGGGATTGGGGAAACTGATTCGGGATTGGGGAACTGATTTGGGATTGGGGGAATTGATTGGGGATTGGGGAAACTGATCTGGGACTGGGAGACTGGTCTGGGACTACATTGATCTGGGACTGTGGAGATTTATTTGGGCATATACTGATCATGGGCTGGGGATGGATTGGTCTGGGACTGGGGAATTAGTCTGGGATGGGGGAATTGGTCTGAGATGGGGATGGGCTGACCTGGGATTGGGCTGACCTGGGACTGGTGAGGGACCAGTCTGGCCCTGGCACTGCTCTGGCACTGGGGAACCGGGCTGGAACTGGGACTGGGGATGGGCTGACCTGGCACTGCTCTGGCACTGGGGAACTGGGCTGGAACTGGGACTGGATCACTCGGGACCGGCCCGGGACAGACCCGGGATAGGGGCGGGCTGGCCACGCCCCCTCCCGCCCAGGCCACGCCCCCGGGTCAGGCCCCGCCCCCGGGTCAGCTGATTTCGGGGAAAGCCGCGCTTTAAGAGAAACTGCGGCGCGCGCCCCGCCGGGACGCTCCTCATTGGCCAGCTCCGCGCGGCCCCGCCTCCTCATTGGGTAGGGCGGGAGAGGGGAGGAGCCGGTGATTGGCGGAGCTTAGAGAGGGCGTGGTGGTGGGCGTGGCCACGCAATATCGCTGCTTTATAAGGTGAGCGCGGGGAAACGGCGGGCGCGGCACCGGGAGCGCGGAAAGGGGAGCGGAGCAGGGAGGGGAACCGGTACCGGGACAGGCACCGGGAGCGGCCGGGAAACGGGGAACAGGCACCGGGAGCGGCCGGGAAACGGGGAACAGGCACCTGGAGCAGCCGGGAAACAGGGATCAGGTACCGGCATCCTCCGGGGAGGGCAGGAAAAGGGACCGGCCCCGGGACTGGCCGGGGAGCAGGGAACAGGTACCGGCATCCTCCGGGGAGGGCAGGAACCGGCCGGGAAACAGGCACCGGGAGCAGCCAGGGGAACAGGTACCGGCATCCTCCAGGGGAGGGTAGGAACAGGTACCGGCACCGGGAGCGGTCGGGGAGCAGGTACCGGGACCGGCCGGGGAACACGGGAACGGCAGCGGCCAGGGAACAGGGAACAGGTACCGGCATCCTCCCGGGAGGGCAGGAACAGGGACCGGCACCGGGAGCGGCCGGGGAGCAGGGAACAGGTACCGGTATCCTCCGGGCGAGGTCAGGGACCGGCCGGGGGACAGGTACCGGCACCGGTATCCCCCGGAGGAGGGCAGGGACCGGCCGCAGGATCTCGTCCTGTACCGGCATCCCCTGTGAGAGGATACCGGCAAGGCACCGGCAGCGAGCGGCGGAAAGGCGGGGGCAGGTCCCGAGCTCTCCCGGGAAGGGATGCGGGAAGTCCCCGTCGTGTGGTCCCCGAGCCCGGGATGGGCGGGGGGCAGCCGCGGGGCTCCTTGATGTGTCCCGAGCGTGTGATTCCCTCTCGGGGAGGGAGATGGAGCTCCGGCCTCTGGCGGTGTTGGGAAGGAGCTTTCTAGAAGAAGAAGCGTCCTGTTTCTGCGGGATTTCTCAGTTTTGGCATCACTCAGTTGGGTGCTGGAGTCCCCGGAGAAACTGCGTGTGCCCCCGTTCCTCCAGGGATGGGCTGTGGCATATCCTTTGGGACACCCAGCTGGCACGCAGAGCTGTGCCCTCTGTGGTGCTTTGGCCATCCCTAAAAACCAGGGCTTGAGCAGCCAGGGCTGTCTAGAAGGGATGGAATTTGGTGGAGCTGGTGGGAGCCCATGGCAAAGCAGGCACCACTGGTTCTCAGGTTGTGCTGGGAGCATCCTTGTTTTCCACCCAAAATTCTTCCAGTGGGGCAGTAAATAACAAATGAACAAGGGAGAGGCAGTCCTGTAAAATGCAGAGCCCAAAATGCCTGGGAAGTTGATTCAGGAGCTGCTGGTCCCCCAGCATGGCCTGCCCGGTGTCACTTGCTCAGGTGACAGCAGAGCTGGGGGCTTGAATCCCCATCCATCCCTCTGCTTCCTCTGTGATTTATCCTGCAGCAAAATAGGAATGAGCAGAGCACTGAGTCAGCTTCTTTTGGGAGAGGAACTTTGGTAGAGTTTGTAGTAACTCAGAAGGAAATTGCCTTGATTTTTAAATTTTTTATTTTTTTTATTTTAGAAGAAGCAGGGGGTAGGGTGGAGATGTGGGGTGGAGATGTTCTGATCTCAGAATTATGGAAGCGTGGGATCCCAGAAGGGTTTGGGCTGGAAGGGACGCTAAAGATAATCTCATTCCACGGGCAGACATTGGCACGGGGGGCTTCCAAAAGCTGCAGGCGCCAGCTGAGCTGGGGGAAAACCATCCCAAATCTCTGTGCTGGGATGGAAATGGGAGAGCTGACGGGGTTTGGATGATCCCTGCAGGATGTGTGACCGCAACGGCGGGCGGCGGCTGCGGCAGTGGCTGATCGAGCAGATCGACAGCGAGCTCTACGCAGGGCTGGTGTGGGAGAACGAGGAGAAGTCCATGTTCCGCATCCCCTGGAAGCACGCCGGCAAGCAGGACTACAACCAGGAGGTGGACGCTTCCATCTTCAAGGTAGGGACGGCTTGGTGATGCCTTCTCTTGGTGCTGTTGGTTTTGTTTGTGCCGCGCTCTCGCTGGGTTTTACGGCTTTGAACCTTGCAGGAGATGCTGCACTTGGTCTCCCAGGGTGGTTTTTCTTTTTTTTTTTTTTCCTTTTTTTTTTTGGGTTTTTTTTTTTTTTTTTTTTAAAAATTAGGACCAGTTTTAGGTTTTCTCCTGTGTCGTGAGGAGCGGCTTTTGACCTCCTTTAAACTTCTTATCAGCTGCTCTTGATGATTTATTCCTTTTTATCAAAAATTAGGACCAGTTTTAGGTTTGTTTTCAGCATGTTTGAATTCAGGTGTGATGTGAGAAGCAGCTTTTGACCTGCTCTAAACTTCTCATCAGCTTCTCTTGATTTATTAATTTTTATTAAAAATTAGGACCAGTTTTAGGTTTCAGGACTCAAACAGGATGAATCCTGTTTGTGAGAAGCAGGTGTGATGTGAGAAGTGGCTTTTGACCTGCTCTAAAGTTCTTATCAGCTCTTGATGATTTATTCCTTCTTATCGAAAATTAGGACCAGTTTTAGGTTTGTTTTCATCCTGTTTGAATCCAGGTGTGATGTGAGAAGCAGCTTTTGACCTGCTCTAAACTTCTCATCAACTTCTCTTGATAAAATGCTGGATTTATATTAAAAAAACTAAAGATTTTGTACGTAGGCAGGAAGGATTTCACTGAAGGGTGGGGTTCCAGTTTTGGAAAAGGGAAAATTCTATCCTGAAGCAAAATGTTCAGGTCTTCTCCAGGAATTCCCTTCTCTCTGACCCCACTTCCAAGTATCTGTACTGGTGAAGGAGTTAATTTCAGTAAGAAATTACTGAATGGTTTGGGAGCACTGAGTTCTGAGGATAGCCTTGAAATATCTATAAAAGAAATCAATATGTATATTTTAAAAAATATGTGACATTTTTCATTCTTCCTTCAGTGGTAAAATACATTGTCCTACAAAAAGCACAAATTAAGTTCTGATCTTGGGAAGACCTATTTATTTATTTATTAACTTATCAGCCAGGAGCTGAAAAATGAGGTTTATCTTGATTTTTAATTGAGCAGATATTCCTTGTGCTCCCAGCATCTCCTGACCCGTAGGTGCAGAAGTGAAGTCACGGGTGATGATTTTGCCCTCTGCTTTTTGAAAAACCTGGCTTTTAAAAGCCTTTTTTTTGCATTTCTGAGGCAGGCAGTGCTGCTCTGCACCCCAAAACCCCCCCCAGGTGTGGTGGCTGTGCAGTCTAGGAGTGAAACAGCAAATCCCCAAGAGATGCTTGAGAAGGGGTGCAAGATGCAAAATGTGCCACCCCAGCTCTTCCTCCCTGAGAGGTTTTGTAGGGCTCACAGGGAGGATTTTGTGAGGGTTTTTTGTTCATTCTTTGCTTTAGGCTTGGGCTGTTTTCAAAGGCAAGTTCAAGGAAGGCGACAAAGCGGAGCCGGCCACGTGGAAGACGCGGCTTCGCTGCGCCCTGAACAAGAGCCCCGACTTTGAGGAGGTGACAGACAGGTCCCAGCTGGACATCTCCGAGCCCTACAAGGTCTACAGGATCGTGCCAGAGGAGGAGCAGAAGTGTGAGTTGCCCAGGAGAGGACTGAGCCCTGCACCTGAGCGAGCTGTCCTGGCTGCAGCCTCCTGGGAGCTCCCATTCCCTAAGGATGTTGTAGGGGAAAATTCCACTTTCCCTGCCTGGGGGAGGGACATGAGCCTCAACCTTTTTTTCCTCCCAACCCCTCTGTGAGGATGGTGGGGAGCTGCAATAAATCCCTTTTCTTGCTTGAGGATGGTGGGGAGCTGCAATAAATCCCTTTTCTTGCTGGAGGAGCAATAATTTTGCAGAGAGCTGCCCTGGTGTCCGGTGTGGCTCAGCTCACACTAACTCTATTTGTGGTTAGGGGAGGCTGTGTGCTTTGTCCTTTTTAAGTTAAAAACTTACAAAAAAACCAAAAAAAGAATGAGTTTTGCAGTCAGGAAATCTGCCTTTAGCATCTCTGTCCCCTCCAGCCCGTTCACACAGGGGCTGTGCTGCCACTATGCAAATGGCACTGCAGGTTCCCACCAGCAGCAGCACTGCACTGGGGAAGGCTGGTGGAAAAAAGAGAAGCAGCAGCCCCAGCCCCAGTCTCTGGGGTGCTCAAAAAAACCCCAAACTCTCTCCTCTGCTCCAGCTCTTTCTCTGTCACCAGGCAGGCTTTTGATTTTTCTTGCTGCTGGTCCCTGCGCTGGGGGGAAAAATGAGTTGTAAAGTGATTTTTTACCCCAAACAAGCAGCTCTGGAGGGGCTGTGAGCTTCTCCAAGGTGCTGTTACATGGCTCTGCTGTGGTTCCTGCTTTCCTGACTTTCACTGGGTGAAAGGTTTCCAAAACCCTTCCAGAGGAGCTGTGCTTGGCACGTGTGGCTGTGCTGACTGCAGCCCCACCTCTCCCTCCAGGCAAAGCAGGGGTTGCCAACGGGAGCAGCCTGGCTGATGTCAGCGACATGGACTGCAGCTCCTCTGCCATCGAGGACCTCATCAAAGAGGTGAGGGTCTGGTTTGGGACAGCACTGCCCAAATTTCGTCTGCAAAGCTGCAGCGTTGGGTTTGCAGCTTGTTCAGGTGGTGTGGGAACTCAAAATGTCCCTCAGACATTTTTGGATGTTTCGGGTCGGAAGCATTTGAGACCCTGGCAGGCAGCTGGAAACAGCTGTGATTTTGGGTTTGAACCATGGTATGATTTACCAACCTTGCAGGAAGAACATGAAGTCACAAAAGTTTAGATATTATAGTAGAAGTAGCCACAAAGTAGAGGGAAGAATTTTTGAGTGCTGTACAGGGGGGTTTTGGTTTTGTACATGAGGGTCAGAGGTTTTAAGATGGAGGGATCTGGGCCTGCCCTGTCCTCCCTCTTTCTCCTTCCTCACCTCCATGTTCTTGGTGATGTTGGCACTCACAGATTGGTTTAGAGTAGAAAATCACCATTTAATATAGGTAATAGGCATGGGGAAAACTGCAACCATGTAACACGTAATGTACCATATAAAAGATAGAAAAGCACCATTTAATATAGGTAATAGGCATTGGGGAAAAAAACTGTAAACCCTGTGAGACGGAGTGAAAATTTAACACGGTAGAAATCCATTGAAATTTAAGTAAAATGTACCACTTGAAACTTGCTAAATATATTGCTTAGTCTAGTAACTACGACACTAACACAACTACCCCAGCTAAAGAAAAAGAATACAAATTTCCACACTAAAAAAATAAGATAAGAAAGGCTCCTCAGACCTTGAAACAGACAGGGCAAAGTAACCCAGGAGTTCTTTCTATACTTTCTGACAAAAACTGAGTACAAGTGTAACTAACTAGAAGTGTAATGTGAAATCAGCAGAATGAATATGCATTAACCTATTAGAAAATTCTATACATATAGAAATTAGTAAGAGCAATAAAAAAAATTTAAAATGCTCAAAAGTACACATGCTCATTAAAAAACAGTAAGTCCCAAGCTACATCCAAAACACTGTAAATAAACATAACTATTCCCTACAAATCTTTGTTAGAATTGTAGAGTTTAATTTTTCATCCACGTTTCACCTGAGTGAGGCTTCAAGTTTCACTCTTGCTGGAGGCATCAGAGCTGCTCTGATCCTGGTGTCTGCTGTCCCCCAGCCCTCCTGTGTGGATGAATACCTGGGCATCATCAAGAGGAGCCCCTCGCCCCCCCA